ACCCGATTCTGCTGCAATGAACCGATTGCCAGTGAAACGGGAGCAAAAAATGATGGTGTTTAAATCAGTCAAAATCAGTAGGTCAGTTCTGTTGGACTATTCCAAAATTGTTAATATAATTAAGAAAATATATTTAAATATAATCGATATGTATAAGGTATTTATTATTTAGTTTAAGTATTTGAATATTTTTAAATTTTTTAAGAATCCAATTAATAATATTTATATATCACATAAAATATTAAAAATTATTGATAAATAAAGTGGAGTACATGTTAATTGTCCCATTGGCGAATCCAAATGCATAGAATTTAAGCCATTTTTTTTGTTTTTTTGTTCGAGGGCCCTTCATGGCTTAAACGTATACATACATCTAAAGGGGCCGTTTTGTTTGCTTTTATAGATGAGCTTGAATAAATCCAACTGAACTATAAGCCCAATTACATGAATTTATCAAAACTATAATGAGTTTTGGTTCATAATTTTATTTAAAAAAAATTATTTAAAAAAAAAATAATGAGTCTTGAATACAAATTTTATTTAATAATAATAATAATAATAATAATAATGAGTTTTGGTTCATAATATCCCTAAAGTATATATGGGCCCTTTATTTTTGTTATTTATTTTTTATTGATTCATAATTTAACACAATTGGGGGGATCTAGAGACTTAAACCCAAATTGGAAAAAAGGCTTTTCTGCATCAATAATGCTACGGTCTATACGGAGTCATTCCATCGAGGCTTGTAATCGTTAGATCAATTGTCTTCGACGGTTATATTTGCATTTAACAGTTACAAACCTCGACAGAATAGTTCGGTAACGAGACTGTAGTATCTCTCCAATCATCATATTATGGTAATTTAGTCAAGATATTAACAACATGTTTGTTTATAAGAATTTTCAAAAAAAAAATAAATTCCAACATTTTAACTCAATCAATTTTTTTAACTCAACTTAACTCAACCCCACTATCATCAATATTATCAATATAATTAAATAATATCAATCAATCATTTATACACACCACATCAACCTTAATTCACTATTTATCTACTCACATAATTTTAACTAACAATCACATAACATCTTCTCGCTCTTACTTTTACATCAATTTAATTTTAATCATTTTATTTAAATATTATTTTAATATACCCACTAACAACTAATCATACTGCCGTTTCAAAATTAACCAAACCAATCCAAAAAATTTCAAACAAATCCAAACAATTTAATAAACAAACATGCTGTTAACTGCTTGATATTAGGACTATTAAAGCCAACCAAACACAGCTAAAGAAACAATTTTTTGACGAAAATTGAGACGTGGAAGTTGAAATAAATGTGAGAGGGACTGGACGTGTCGCTCTGAATTAATTTGAACAACATAACATCTTCGTACATTTAATATTTACTGACAATATATGGTTTGTAAGT